TCGAAGCTTTCCAGTCACATATGTCCAATACATGACTTAAACACCAACCTAGATCAAAATGAAGGAAAAATGGCCAAGACTCGAACTTGGAGTCCAAAACTTGCACCAAAATCCAGATCCAAGGGTTCTAACACAGCAAATGACTCAATGGTCCATAAAGTTGCTAACTTTATGGACCTCATGCATGATAATTCAAGATCCCATGCAAATAAGGTAACCATAACCTAGATCTAGCAAGATTAGGAGAGAAAGGTGGGATCTTTGAGACTTACAGAGGCTTATGAGCTCAGAAATGCCACAAGGAGGAGCTTATCTCACGAAAAGGAACCACCACAAGAGCTTCTTCTTCTTCTTCTTCTTCTTCTTCAAGGAATCAAAACACCAATACCACCAACAATGGTTCAAGGGCTCAAAAGGATCGATTTTAGGGTTTCTCAGAGGTCTTGGAGGTGAAGGAGGCTGAAGAGAAGCAATCCTAATCATCCCTTACCTTTAAATACCCGAAAATAAGGGTTTTGGTGAATCAGGTGCATCTCACGTCGTGAGTCTTAAGTGAGCTTGGTCAACAAGTCAACGATCACTCATTCGAACCACGCCAACTTCAAACGGCCATAACTTATTCGTTTCAACTCCGTTTTCGACGTTCTTTATATCCACGAAAAGGTGGAAAGAAGCTCTACACATCTATCAACTTATCCTCACCTCAAAACATCCTGAACAAAATCCAAAATTCATAAAGAGATCGAACTGCCACTTTACCGATATGCCCCTTAGCTCCAAGACACGACCCAGACTCCCGGATCACCTTAATTACATTGTCTGTACCTAAATGGGTCTAGACCTCTCTTTTCCAAAGGCCCTAAGCCTTATGATAACCTATCTTCAGGCCACAGTCCCGAATTAGGAAGGCGATTCGGAACAGGGCGTTACAACAAATTTATTTTCCTTTCATTTCTCTTTTTTTCTCTTCTTACTTTATTTTCCTTTCTTTCCTTTTCTTGGCTAAAAGTCGGAAACTAGGGGCCAACTATCTAGTGACCAAAATTACGGTCGTCACTATAAATCCGTCACAAAATTGATTTAGCGACCAAAATATATAAGTAGTCACTAAATAGTAACTAAAATATATTGGTCACTAAATCAATGACAACCGGCTTCGTCACTAATCAGTGGAAGTCGTCACTATTTTGTCCCATTAGTGACCATAAAAAGTCGTCACTATGTTATTCAATTAATGATCATACAAAGTCGTCACTAGTTTATTCGATAAGTCTTCACTGTGTTATTCAATTAGTGACCATACAAAGTTGTCACTGGCTTATCCAATTAGTGACCATAAAAAGTCATCATTGAATTTTGTTGCTACTTTTGTATTTAACTCATTTAATTAACAAAATATATTATGAATTTATAAAGATAAATAAAAATTATTCTAAAATTTAAACAAACTCATAATGTCTAAAAACGAAAAGCCTGGGTAAATTATTTTCCACTTGGCAGAGTGTAAATTATCATGCAGACATACAACTTTTCAGCAAATTACACATAAAAAAAATAATAAAATAATAAAAAAAATTCAACTCTTCCTGGTTTTTTATGCAATATATGCCTTTACATTCTCATGATCCTTTCAGCAACGATGGATGAAATAGTATTGCAATACATTAATCTATTACTCCTTCAAATGATGCTCAAACAAAGATGTTATCTCAATCTGCGATACATGTATACGATTTCAGTTAACAAAATTTACTTTTTTTTACATGACAAAAATCTATCAGTCAAAGAAACTTACAAACTTACAGCAGTCAAAGCTTCTTCAGAGCCCTTACTCCAGAAAAGCCACCATCTGTTACTCCACACTGAATTTCACATTCATAATAAGAACTAACACCATTACATACTTCATTCATTATAAATAAATGATTATCAAGAAAGTTTTGACTTAATATGGAACTTAAAAGACAAATGAAACTCAAAATTGATTAATCAATATGAAAAAGCTAAAAAAATTTTGTGTTTTTGATGCTGATACCTTTAATGCGAACCATGATTATAAATAAATGATTATCAAGAAAGTTTTGACTTAATATGGAACTTAAAAGACAAATGAAACTCACAATTGATTAATCAAATATAAAAAAGCTAAAAAAATTTAGTGTTTTTGATGTTGATACCTTTAATGTGAACCATGGGTTCTCTTCTAGAGATATCAGTCTCATGTGTGCATCAGGCATCACAATTGCATGTTCTTTGGCACCAGTATTTGACTGAAATTTACAAAAAGAGTCAAATCAAGAACATTAATAATAACAAAAAAATTCAATCAACAATGATAGTTATAAAAAATGGAATGTTCGAACCATACTACAAAGATAAAAAAAAATCTTATTGAACACGTTTACCATTAGAAGATCCTCTTGCAAGAATGTGCAAACCAGGCTATAAGAAAATTAAATACATCATCACATATGACATTCACAATATCCTGGCTGATCAAGCAATTTAATCAATCAACTCTTAAAAGTAGAACTACTTACATATTCGAGTGTGTATAAAAGTAGATTCTACATATAATCACAAGGATACGCAAGAGATGTACAAAATTGAAAGTAAATAACAAGTTTTTGTTTAAGATACCATTGACTAATTTAATTATAAAATGAAACGCCCATCTTTTATGTTTTAAAAAGATACGCCAAAGCTGAATCATGCACGTAAAATCGGAAGATTGCATGCAAATTTGTAAGCAAATTTTCCCTGTACGTACCATCATAACTTTGTCTATATAATTAACGTATAGACAATCTCTAAAACAAACCACTTTTGATATCATCTCAGTCACAAAAATGACGATGAATAGATATGGACGAAAGCAAACCGTTTTATGTTCCCATGGTTAGGTCATGGTCACATTTCTCATTTAAACCCGTGGAAACCACAAGTCTTTTTTTATTAATCAAGACTAGGTTTAAACTTGTGGAAGTTGAAAATGAAAAACATTATTGATAATTCCAAATGGTAATGAAAATAATTTAAAATACAATATTACTGGATGAAAAATACAAATATATGAAAGTATACCGGTTAAAAGCTGGAATTTGACTTTTAGTGCTATCTTTTAGTATTGTTCAAATGAGAAGAAAATAAGGATAAATATGTTATAAATAGAGTTATTATTATTGTACCAACTTATATTTATGATATTCTAATATTACTATTCATATAGTATACAAATCAAATATGTTGATAAGTAATATTCCTGTTATTATAGCACCAAAATATTTTTGTAAGTTATTTTCTTTTCATGCTTCTTAATAGATAAATTTAAATGTCATGTGATATTTAAGCAAAACAACATAAGTTAACTAGTTAAAATGTGAAGTACTTAATTGTTGACAGTAACCTAAGTTAAGTGATTAACCTGAACTTCAACTAATCAATACATGATTTGCTAATTGTCTACTTAAGAACTACAAGTTTTGTTGCAAAAACAATCACTTAAAAAAATTAAGATCAATTTCTTGTTTCTCGTGAAAATAAAATATGCTTGCTACTCAAAGATTCAGTAAGTAATAGACCTAAAATGATTAATAAAAAACCAATTTTTATTAGTTCTTTTCTTTACCAACTTAAAATAGTCTTAATATTTATAGAGAAAGGATCACGTTGCTATTGATCAACCTAGATGGTATTAACAAATTATAATGCCAACAAAATTGAACCAAAAAAACAAAAACGATAGGATTTTTTAAAATGATACAAAATCATGAAGTTGATGATGTCACAAGTGAAGAGAATCATCCAACAAAAAAAAGACTGGAGACTTACATAGCGGATTAATATTGCTAAATAGGAAGGAATTGGCGGGGATTATACCTTTAATGGAGATAAAAACGGAATTTCTCGAGCCAGACAAACATTGGTGTTTGTTCATATGCTTAGCGTACATTTTTCTTTGCATGTATTTGACCAAATGGTAGATAAAAGTGTAAATTTAAGAAAAAAAAAATTAGAGACACATAAAATTTTGGAATACGTCAAGAAGCCATCAACAAATTAAAAATTGTACAGACCCAATATTTATTGATAGAAAATCGATCAGAAACTTAGAGAAAGGAGATAACAATCAACATATTATGGAATACAAACCCGTGTCTTGCAATCCGTTCACCTTTTTGGTCGATTTCATCATCATATGCTTCCATAACAATGGAGGTGCAGTGGTGGTGACGGAGTATACTTATCAAATTCAAATCAATCATCTCGGAATCCAAAAACACTCAAGAAGATTCGAAAAAAATGATGAAGAGTAAATTAAAAAAACTTTATTGATATCTAGAAGCAGAATCGGCGAGATGATTAGATGAGAAAAATACAGAAGAAAAATGGAGCATTAATATTTTTGGCAACGATTATGGATCGGTAGAGATTTTTGGATATAACCTGTTTCCTAAATAAATCCCAATTCATCAGGAATTTTCGTAGATATCACTTCGAAGGGTAGAGATTTTTGGATATAACGTGTCAAATAGGTATTCATATATTAAGTAGGTAGATTTATAACCTTTTTGGGTGATAAACATCAAATTATGTACTTAATTAAAAAGATCGATCTATATAGATTCTATTACTTATTTAAAAATAATCGATTTTACTAAAACAAACCAATAATCGATTTTAATAAATACGCCAAAGCTGAATAACTTTCAAATTTATCGCATTTTTGTTTAAGATACCGTTAGAGTAATTTAATTATAAAATAAACCGCCGATCAATATATATATATATATATATATATATATATATATATATATATATATATCTTTTATGTTTTAAAAAGATACCCCAAAGCTGAATCATGCACGTAGAATAGAAAGATTGCATGCAGATTTTCCCCATACGTATTGTATGCAGTTTCCATCATAACTTTGTCTATATAATTAACGCACAGACAATCTCTAAAACAAACGACCTTCGATATCATCTCAATCACAAAAATGACGAGGAACAGATATGAACGAAAGCAAACCGTTTTGATGTTCCCATGGTTAGGCCATGGTCACATTTCTCCTTTCCTAGAACTAGCCAAAAAACTAAGCAACACCAACCTCTTTAACATCCACCTATGTTCGACGCCTGCAAATCTCAAGTCAATCAAGAGTTCAACAGCTGCAATTCAGTTCATAGAGCTTAACCTTCCGTCTCTACCGGAGCTACCACCAGATCTTCACACCACCAATGGCCTCCCATCTCATCTTATGCCTGTTCTCAAGAAAGCTTTTGACATGGCAACTGATGAGTTTTCAGGTATCTTGAAAACCCTAAAACCTGATTTGTTGATTTACGATATCATTCAACCATGGGCGCCGATGGCGGCCTCCGCCCTTTCAATCCCTTCCGTTGTGTTCATCACCACAAGTGTTGCTGCCACCATGGTTCATTTTCACTTGAGCAACCACCCTGGTATTGCGCTTCCCTTCTCCACCATCTACTATCGTAGCTACGAGTACGGAAAGGTTGTTAAAAGCTTAGAGGATATGCGTAAAGATGAAGACTTTGTAATGGAGTGTGTAAATCGATCTTCCGATATGGTTCTTGTAAAATCTTTCAAGGAGATTGAAGGTAAGTACAGTGATTACCTTTCTGTTCTTACTGACAAAAGGATTGTGCCAGTAGGTCCACTTGTTGCAGAACCTGTAGAAGAAGAAGACGAGAAACAAAACAGTGTGATGCAGTGGCTTGAAACAAAAGCTGCTGGATCTACTGTTTTTGTTTCTTTCGGGAGCGAATATTTTCTTTCTGATGATGATTTGGAAGAAATTGCATATGGGTTAGAAATAAGCGATGTGAATTTCATCTGGGTTTTAAGGTTTCCAAAAGTTGAAAGAAAAGTTAGCCTTTCAGAAGCTTTGCCATTAGGGTTTCTTGAAAGGGTGAAGGATAAGAGTTTAGTGATTGAAGGGTGGGCGCCACAAGGAAAAATATTAGGGCACAAAAACATTGGTGGATTTGTGAGTCACTGTGGATGGAGTTCAGCGATAGAAGCTATGAAGTTTGGTGTTCCAGTAATAGCCATGCCAATGCATCTTGATCAGCCGATCAACGCTCGTTTGGTGGAGGAGGTTGGGATTGGAATGGAGGTGGTGAGGGATGAAAATGGGCGGCTCAGTCGGGAGAAGATGGCGGCGGTTGTTCGGCACGTGGTCGTTAGTAAGTTAGGGGAGGTGGTGAGGGAAAAAGCTAAGAAAATGAGTTCTGATTTGAGTATGAAAGGCGAGGAGGAGATCGAGTCGGCTGCGGTGGAGCTACTGCAGTTGTGCAGCCGTGGTGGTGGACCCAGTGAAACCAACGAAGCCATTGGAATTGGTGAAGTTTAAAATGACGGAAATCTCCTCTCTTGGTTTAGTTTTTAAAAGTTATTACTTAGATATATAAACATAACTTTAGTTTAGGGGTTTATTATGAAAATATTTTTAACATGATTTTCATAAAAATCCTAACATATACTATGTTTTAATTTCTTTTTCTTTTGGTTAGAGATGGTGAGGGGAGATGTCCACAAGAGGAAAAGGCTATCCTTTTTTTGTATTTAGCCTCATAATCATATTTCAGTGATATTTATTATATTTAATTACTTTTGTTTCAATATAGCTGTCTAATTTAATAGTGTGTTTTCCATGAGTCATTAAAAGTAATCATTTGTAATGTGTTTATGTCTACAAAATTTCTTTAACCTTTTTTCACCTTCATGTCAATTTGTTCAAAGTAAAAATTAGTCTTTATCTTCAACATGTGGTTGTATATGAATAATCAATCTGGTGTAGTACTTGTATAGAACCACCATTGATGGTGATAAAAAGCATACAAGACTTGAATCAAAATCAAAGAAATAAGATACTCACAGACAATTTATATATTATCAAATGTGGTGTTATGAGATTGTAACGATATATTATATGTTTAGACATGCTTTTTTAGATATCGTATATTATGATGTTTTTATTTGATGTTAATATCACGTAATATTTTTTATTTTAAAAATATGATATGTGCTTTAAACGACAAATCAACATGAAGTGACTTTATAAAACATTCCAGGTCTATAATGATCAATTATTTAAAATAATCTTTTCAAAAAGATTTATGTATCGGAAAAGGATTTGTCGCAACTGTTCTTTGTCAAATAAAGACGAGTGAAAAAAGAAATTAATTAATTTATGGGAATGTGAACTTAAGTTGTTACAAAAGTATGACACCAGTTTCAGCTGTTAGTAGATTCCTTGGGTTCATCAGCCACTACTTTATCTGAATTGCCTGTATCTGTATCTACCGTCTGTGCCTGAGACTGAGACTGCGTCTGTGATTGTGACTGAGACTGAGACTGAGACTGAGACTGAGACTGCGTCTGTGGCTGTGACTGTGTCTGTGATTGTGATTGTGATTGTGCCTGAGAATGAGACTGAGTGCTTTGCGCGTGACTTACACTTTGAGAATCTTGTGCAATCCCAAGAACCACCAGCACGGATCTGGAAGAAAAAAAAAAAAAAAAAAAAAAAAAAAACAAGGTGTTATGAGTGAGTGCAATGGACATGGTTAGTTAGTTATGGTTATAGAGAGAACCTTGGAAGTGAAGATCTTAAGTCTGGTTGACTCGCATAGGCAACCAAGGGAGCCTTGAGTACAGGCTGCTTATTCAATGCTATTTCCAGCTGTGCAGGAGGAAGCTAATAACAAAATTCACATTTCACAAATTAATCATTTACAAAAACAAAAACAAAAAATTTCCATCATTTCATTATATTATTGTTACCTGAAGTAAAACCCCGAAAGATTGAGGTTTTGTTAGCTGAGCACATTTCAAAAATCCTACCCACAGCTTTGGATTCTTCCATATCTGAAGAAAACAATAAATCATGAATTTTGTAGATAAAAATATGTAATAATAATAATAGTAAAGTAACACTCACCTGCTTTGTGACAAGGCGAGATAGAATCTCCATAATAAAATCCACCTGTATTATATTCAATATCACATATTCACATCACATGATTACTTCAAATGAAATACACGTATCCAAATCCAAAACACCCCATTGCAACTTACCAGAGAAGGAAATGCACCAATGGTCTGGATTACTGTTCGCATGAACAGCATTGGAAGAGGAGTCTGCTCAACCTGAATATAAATATAAATATAATGTTTCAGTTAAATTTTTTTCAAAAAACAGAGTTGACCGGTCAACCTCAACCCAAATACATACCAATTGGTTTAAAACTTTTGCTAGAACTTGTTGGGTAAATATCTGTCGTTGCTGAAAGCAAGTGTTGCATGCATCTGTAACCTGCTTATGCAAAAAAATAAATTAAACAGAATAATGAGTGGAAAAGGAAAAATAAAAGATTTAAGAATAAAAATACATACCTTCTTTAAGGGAATTCCATCTTTCTCAGGATCAATGCCATGGATACCAATTAGTACTTCAGTTGGAGTAAGAACTGGACCTTGGCCACCTTGAGACGATTCCTGTATAATATTAGGGTTAAATGAAAGAAATACCAATGTACTTTCATTTACTTGTTTATATTATATTTGAGTAGATGTTTCAAAGTACAATGTTGTAACAAGAAAGAATTCAAAAGCATTATGTACAATGCCATAATTTCAAAATATTTAAACTACAATGTCTTAAAAAGAAGAAAGAAATAAAAATTACCTGCAAGGTACGTGTAAGTGCAGCCTGGAATTTATCTGGTGGAAGATTTACAAAACAGGGAAATATCTGAAGAAGCTGCCAAAATAAAAACCAATAAATGTTAACAATATGAACATACGTCACAAGAACCAAAAAAAAAATAATAATGATTCATTTACAAAATCGACAATTATCTTTTTCTCCCAGAAGATCAAAAACATGAATGAAGAAAAAGTTGGAATTTTACTGTTTAAAATTAAGAGATATGTTAAGTGTTAAGTGTTTTCTTTGTATTTTTGAGAGCTTGTTATAGCAGAAGAATGGAAGAAAACCTCATGTTTCGGTAGGAAGGGTAATATCGGAATAAGAATCTCTGCATCCTGTCATGTAAAACAGATTAACATGAAGGTAGAATTTAATGCATAAAACAAGTAATATATTTTATACCTTAAGTTTTGTGTCATATAACTTCTTAATGGTAGCTATCAAGTCAGGTGAAGGAATTGCCCCATCTGTTAGTGTTTGCACAACCTGTTGAAAACAAATGAACATGAAGAAAAAAAAAAATCGTTCTCCACTTTCTTGAAAATAATAAAATATATATATAAAAATGACCTGCATTAGAAGGATCTCGCTTCCAGCAGGTGGATCTGAAATGATTTCAAGAAGCTGAGGTGATGTGCCAATTGTGCGAACTAGTTTTGGGATTTGGACACAAATTGCCTTCACAAAAAGACAATAAATTAGAAAATAGCAATGTAGTTTCATTTATTTATGTTGCTGTTAAATAAAATAAAATAACTCATGCACAACAAACTTCTCAAAAGTCAAACCTGCTTTGCTGCTTTTGACATATTCTTGTAAACAATCAACAGCTGACGAAAAAGAGAATGTTTCTGTAACTCAAAAAGATGCAAATAATTAATATCTTTAAAAAAAGAAAAGCAAAAAATACAGTGATGATATAAATATTATATTTATACCTTTGTACAAAGGGCAAAATAGAGAGACATGCATCGCTGTGCATCAGTTATTGAAGTGGTCTGAATGCTTTCAGATGTACATGGCTGGCCCACCTCAGAGGAACTATCCTTTGTGATCATGGCATTGACTGATGATGGTTGACTTTCGGTCAAAGGTTTTTCCATCTCAGTGTCCTACATATATATAAAATGAGAAGTTAAATATTAAATTTTTTTGAGTCGTTGACATTTCATATTATGTAAAATCCACACCTTTGTTAATTCAGCATCATCATTCATTGCTGATAACAGCATTTCCTTTGCAAAATCTTCAATTTGCAAAGAAATGGACAATATAGGATAAAGCTTGTTTGCCACCTAGATTTCACAATAAATCAACATTTTTTTTTAAAAAAAAAAATATAGAGAAAACAATTAGTAATTTATGATATATATACCAGACGAATGGCTTTCGTTCGCACTTCCTCCAAGTGGTGCACTGCACTCTGTTGAAAAACCCTAGTATGGTTAGAAGTCAAAATTTCAAGATAAAGAGAATATATTATTATATATAAATATAAATATAGTATATACCTGTAAAGCAATTTTTAAACAAACATCTCTAGTGGGAGGTCTAAGAAGAATTAAGCTCCAAACAATACTGAGACCTTGATGCACTCGATCTCCACTGTGTATCTCCTCATTTTGTTCACTGTTTCCAGGAACACATAAACATTCCAACAACTTAAGAACTGACTTTGGTAGGTAAGGAACTTCACTCAGCAATCTACTTAAAGATTTGTCACTGGATGGAAAAGAATCTCTCAGTGTTTCTGCCTGAAACAAAAATGTACTTCAACACTTTATAAATCATACTTTACATGCTAGAATAGTAAAATGAATGATAATAATTATAAAGAAACTAACAACATTTACAAACCACTTTCAGAAGAAACATTTCATATACAGAAGTTGCAGTTGTTGAAGAAAAGAAGTCATTTTCTGCTTCTGCCTCTCCAAATAGTCTATAGAGGACACGTAAGGTTAACTCGTGACCCTGAAAGAAATCAAGAATAAGTCACTCTTGTTGTTTTAAATATTTTGAATTTATAAATATATCATTCATGCTGAATAAAATAGTAATCGATATGGAAACATTACCTCATGACTTGTATAATCTGAAAGTATGTGTGTTTGTAAAAGTCTCCAAGCATCCAACTCCAAAGGAAACTGCAACAACATTCAAGTACTCAAAATCGTAGTATAGACTAAAGTAAACTATTAGATATTGTGCAAATTATTTATTACCTCAACTCCTAAAAAGGAAAGTAAAGAAAAGCGAAGCTGTGAGCCTCCAGCAACTGCTATAAGCTTATAAGCTTCAATGATGCGAATAAAAGCCGATTTTTGTACAAGATCCTTTTGCTCATCTGTAAGGCTAATAACAGGTGCAGACATTTTAGGCAAAACCACTTTAGATGTTAACTGAACAGAAGTTGCTGTTGATGAATTGATGTTGTTTGCATCTGCCATTGCTGCTTTTGGACTAAGTTCCTCAGACTTATCTGTAGACATTGAAGGAACTATGTCTATATCCATTGATGACCTGGCAATATTCGTGATTTGTTCTTGAGTGTCTTCTTCCATGTCAGCAGAAACCAATGAGGTGTCAACTTGGATTTCAGGCATGTCATCATCCCGGGTGGAAGAATCTAGACCAGG